CACCCCTGCGACCCACTCTGGGATCCGATCACACAGACAACCACCAGCAGCAGGAGGCTGAGGCCCAGGGAGAGCAGGAGGAGGCGCGGGCCGGAGCAGAGCCGCTGGAAGAGTGGTCGGGGCGGAGGCGGCCCTGCAAGAGGAGAGGGTCTCAGGGTCGCGGCAGAGTCGGGGCAGCTCTGGGGTCCTGGGAGGAGAGCCGGCTAAGGCTCCTCTCGGAGGCCCGGAGGAATCACAGAGGGTGAGAAGCAGGAGCGTGTCCTGGCCAGCGTGGCTCCGCTGGTTGGAGCGTCCTCCCGTACAGCACAAGGTCAGGTCAGGGTTCAATTCTGTCAGGGCACACACCCAGGTTGCCGGTTCGGGCACATGCATTTATGTTTCTCTCTCTCCCTCTCCCTTCCTCTCTCTCTAAAATCAACAAAAGTACCAGCTGCATGGCTCAGTGGTTGAGCATCGATTGACCTATGAACCAGGAGGTCACAGTTCAATACCCAGTTAAGGCACATGCCCAGGTTGTGACCTCCATCCCCAGTGGGGGTGTGCAGGAGGCAGCCGATCAATGATTCATCAATGATTCTCTCATCGTTGATGTTTCTATCTCTCTCTCCCTCTCCCTTCCTATCTGAAATCAATAAAAATATATTTTAATAAATAAAAGCATGTTCTCAGGTGAGGAATTTTTTAAAAAAAAAAAAAAAAGAAGAAGAAGAAGAAGAAATACAGGCAGTGGGTGACCGAGAGGCCGGAGCTCCGGCCTGGAGGTGGGAAGGGAACACGGCTGCCGATGGAAGCAAAGCTTCGACCTGCGCGAGCCCGGCCTGGCCCTGGGCTGTGGCTGACACCTCGTGGCCGGACTGTGTCAGTGCAGCTGGTGAACCTCTTCGGAGCCGTGAGGATGGAGTTTGTGAGCTGGAGACCAGCTCGGGGACCAGGGCTCCCCCCTGAAGGTGGGGCCAGAGGCAGAGGTTTCTTCCTCCCTCCAGGGGTCCCACCGCTCTGGCTGGGGGCCGGCTGGGAGCAGGCTGGGGCAGGAGGAGAAGGTGGGGTAGCCAGGCTTCAGGTCCCTCAAGTTGCTCCACCAGGCAGCCCTGCTCCAGTGAGCTGGGGTGTGGGAGGCCTCCCCTCCATTCTCGCCCCCTTATCCCCTTTCCCCATCGAAGGGCACTGCCCACTCCCACCCCCCAGGAGCTGGATCCTTGCCCAGCCCCAAAGGCGTTCCTGCTCACGGGAGAAAAAATGGAGGTCTTTTTATTATTGTTGTTGTTGATTTTTAGATAGAGAGGGGGGGAAATCAATGTGACGGAGAAACATCAATCAGTTGCCTCCTATAGGTACCCCGGCTGGGGATCCAACCTGCAACCTAGCTATGTGCCCTGAGGGGACTCGAACCTGTGACCGGGGTGCTCCGACAGCCACACCGACCAGGGCGCCGGGTCTGTTTTTATGTAGGAGGGCCTCGTCCTCCCTCAGATCAGAGACCCCTCAGCCTCTTCACAGAACTCTTACCCCCTGACCAAACTGATCACACACACACACACACACACACAGCTCACTGGTGTTGAAAGAGGAGAGGAGGAGGGGCCTGACTCCCTTCATTACCACCACACTCATGGGCCCACCCCCTCCCCAAGGCCCTGAGAAGTGGGTGGCATGGCAAGGGTCAAGGGTACCCTCCCCAAGACAGAGCTCCAGCCCCACACCCCCACCTCCCCTGAGAGGGCAGCTATGTTCTCGCCACAGGGGCGGACCAGAGGCAGGGGCAGGGGCATAGAAAGAAGCCGGAGCCTAAAGCTCGCCCTTCCGAAGCAGCGGCGTCCCTCACCTCGTCTGAGCTGATGGTCATTCTCCTCGTTGTCCAGGTGCTGAAGGTCCTGATACTCCTTGGTCATGGTAGGGCTGGCTGGACCCCGGACGACGTCAAGGCTGAAGTGAGGGTTCAGATTGGGACTGACCGAGCTGGGGGATGGCGTCTTTCCCTTCCTAAGTGGCCCGTGGTGACGTGCAGGCCTTCCTTCTTTCCCTCATTCCATCCCAGGCCTGTCTCCCCTGGAGTGTCCCCACCCAGCCCCTCGCCC